GAGAAGATCACCAGGACTCCACTGTCCTCTCTGCAGAGCATTTACCATTGCAGGGTGCGTAGGAAAGCTGCCTCCATCCTCAAAGACCCCACCCATCCACAGCAGGGACTGTTCACCTCCCTACCCTCTGGCTGGAGGTTCAGAAGTGTGAAATCCAGGACCTCTAGACTGAAAAACTCTTTCTTTCCCTCTGCCATCAGACTCCTAAACAGCTGAGGAGTTTATTACCAGGAAATACTTGTTGTACTGTTTACATTCTCAGTTTGCACATGCACAATTGCACATTGACTGTTGACTGCTGCACATGCAGCATACATTCTCTTATTATAATCTTATATATTTTTATTATATCTCTGCATTTGCTGCTTAAAGTGCCTTAGATTTTGTGTTACTTATTTATCTACTTTATATTTCATTTGTACTTTGTGGCATTTATGTGGACGGCAAAGTAAGAATTTCATTGTACAGGGAAACACGTTTCCTAACTGTGCATATGACAAATAAACGCTTTGACTCATGTAGTAACAAACACCAGCTCTACTCAAATCCACTCTGGCCACTTGCAGACTGAGCTGCTGTACAAACAGTGAACTGTATTCTAGCAGAAAATAATCTAAGAGTGACACTTACATGCACACACTCCTTTTTCGTACCTAGGCTTATCCGAGCTGAAGTCACAGTACAGCCCCTTGTGGTAGTCGCATGTATCTGCCTCATTGCACACCTCTCCCACCTGCCGGGCACAGGTCTTGCAGCAATCACAGCCATCCGTCAGGAGGCTCACACCTGGCAGACAAGTGGGGGTGATCTTGGGACACTTGCAGGGCCATTTGCAGTACTGTGTCCGGTTGTATGATTCCACAGCTGGGGATGGAATGGCTGTAGCAGGTGGTGTGGCAGTGGAATTCTGGGAGTAGGCCTGAAGAGAGGAAAGTGAACAGAATATGATCAAAAACAAGCCTGTAAGACATAAGGGAACAACTTTCTATGAAATATATACAGTTCAACTATGATGTGCAGCTAATATTTGAAGTAGTTTACTAAAATATAGGCTGGTTTTCGAAACACTGTCTCAGTACGTGACTGATCTGACTCTTATTTGTGCACCTCTGCTTCACTGCCTACATGGGTGAAACACTTGGCATCCTGCTAACACCTGGTCATGCTGTGCAACAAATTAAATAAGACTGTAAAAATGAATTAAACAACCAGTGGAGGTAATCCTATTAAATCAATGACAAAATCTCGTCTTGTATGTACTTAAGCATTTGGAAGTGTTCCATCATCATATTTAAAATCTACGAGAGTTATAAAACCCTGCCAATAAGACTTAGTCCACATCTCTCCCCTTCAGCATGCTTGACTCTTACAAGCTGCCATGTGAAGCCAAGACCACACAATTAAAGGCTCTGCAGCTCCTAAAAGCAGATGTTCTTACTTAAACAAGCCACAGGAGACACATTAACAGCACAACACTTGGAGAACAGTATTGGTCACTGGATGCATAATCCTCAGTTGAAGAAATTGTTTTCTTTTGGATATGGAGGGTGTTTGTCTGACAACTAATAGTGCTCTTTAGAGATTAAATTAAGCTCAGCTTCTTTTGAGAACACAGTACACTGGAGAAATGGCTCAAAGATGGTCTCTGGATTTTTGCTTACTGAGTGAGAACCAAGATTAGCTTCTCAGGAAAAAAAAAGAAACTTTACAATACATTTCTATTACATATACTCTGAGGCAAAACTAAATATTCTCCTGGCAAAAAGGTCACGGTAAACCTTGTGCAAGTTAAATGCACTAATACATCACGAAGGAGCTTTATCTGAAGCTGTAGCAGCCACCAATATCTATCATAATTAGTACAAGGTGACTGGGTCTAAACAAGGAGAGAAACAGTTGATTGGAGCTCCAATAATGCCTGTATACCCATAAATCATAATATGATCCATAGGATCTCATACCTAGATTTCATCAGTGGCACACATACACATGTGCATACACACTTAATCTGCAATTAACTGAGAGAAACGGTATTTAATCTGCTTATGCATGACCTACCCTGTCATTTTTCTGACCTTGTTCTTGGCACTTCAATAGATTTATTCTCATATTAATAACAGCATACACTGTTGAAATAATGCAGATAAATGAGTTTTCATCACGGTCATGCCACAAAGCCATTCCTCAGAAGAGTTCATTTCGCCTGAAGCTATCAGGCGCATTTACAGTAAAAAAAAATTTAAAACATCAAAACTGATCACAAAGAGAGGATGGCAGAGAGAGGTGGGTGTTTCATAAGTTAATTATGAAAACATGGTCCAGGCTTAATACAATCATCATCCTTGAAATCATTTGTCTTCACTGACTTAATTCAGCATAAATCCATTTAAAAAGTTTTTATTCACTGTCAGGAAAGGCGGGGTCACAAAGCACTACAGGAATTAAGAAACAGATCATTTAAGAAAACTTCAAAGATGAGCAGAGAAATACAACAACGACACAGTGATCTCAGAGTGTTTGCATTTCATACATTTAGGCTCAGATGTCACACAAGCCAAGAGCTCAAATACAGTAGCTGCCAAGTGTTGCTGATAAGCAATTTAAAAAAAAACAGTTGTTTTCTCTGTAGAGAGAATTGAGAAGGACTGACGACCCTGGTTCCTCTGCTGGTTTGATAGTTTCTTTGTATCAGCCTCTGGTCAGATCAGATGAGCTTCAGAAGCATATGCACAGGCGTGGACAAATCCCTCCTCAGGAACATGTTAAAAAAAGGAGACTTTTCCAAATAATACCATGGGACCATGGCTGGTTCTAATTTGAAGAGTTGCAATGTGGATTTAAACAGTCTAAAATATATTCAAACTGAAAAAGATGTCATGAAGATGCTATGCTGGGAGAATATGATGACCTAGATTACTACATTGTAGCATGTTCTCTATTATAGCATCAGCCAAAACTATATTCTATATTCATATGCCTTTTGAAACTACAAACAAATGGCAATACATTTGGAAAAATATTCACATATAAATTGAAAACTGTTACATTTTAAAACTTGCTGCAAATTTTGAGTAAAGCAAAATAAAGAAGAGATTTTTAAAAACTGCTCAGGCATCTCATTTCCAAAAGCTGAACGACAGATTGATATGTAGAGCTATGGACTCATGAAAGGATCTGGATAAAAACAACCTGTGGGAAAATATTAACAAGCCGTCCCCCATACAACCACAAGGTGGCACTGTCATATAACCAAAGTTAGAAAGTGAAGCTACAGTGTGACAAAAACCAAGGCTGCAAGTTTAACCAGAGGGTGATTGAAGACAACGATGATATGAGACATTCAGAGGGAATCAGGTGCTTCAGGTTAGTCAGTCTGTTCAGTCAAGTTTACGCTGCCCTGGTCATGAAACCAGTCTGCACAGGAATACCTTTTGGAGCCACATCTAAACTACAGACAAGAGAAAAACGAAAGGAAAAACCAACATGAAGTGTCTTAGTAAAATGCTGGGCCAGAACAGTTTCATACTGTGGCACTGATTCTGTGAACGCTACTGGAGGGATGAACACCAATCTTCCAAAATCTCTCATAAGTGCTCGACTGGGTTGCGATCTGGTGACTGTGAAGGCCATAGTATATGATTCACGTCATTTTCATACTCATCAAACTCATCCTGGAGGAGACCATCATAAGATAAAGGTGATCACTCAAAACAACTGTGAATTGTCTGGGGACAAGCAGACCCAAACCATGCCAGCAAAATGCTTCCCATAGCATAATAGAGCCACCAGATCCCCTCACTGTAGGGGCCAAGCATTCAGGTTTTTTCTTGAATGTATCACCCCTCTGAATATTTTAGGCTACAGCAGGACTACAATGAACTAAACAAAAGAAGTCAGAATAAGTTAAATTGGGATGATTTTACATTAAGTGTCCCTGCAGTAACAGTCAACTCAGTTTGTCATTAGGACGTGGTTATTGTAACCTCACAGTGACCTCATGTAAGCTATAAATATATAGTGGTTATGGTAAAGTTGGGGAAGTGAAATTAAAATTCAAATGTCACTAAAACTAGCTCTGAAGTAGGTTATTAATAAAGGTGCATATATTCTTTACTTGCCAGACTACTTTCCCGTATCATTAATACGAGTCAAATGCGCTGCTTGCTCATTAAAAACTGATCTGAGACACGCCACCCCACCTGTTGAATCCCGGCTGCTGTTAAAATCCACAACAGGAGCCAACTCATCACTGGAGAGGAACTGCAAATGCATTGAATCCAGAATTACTCCCGGTTTGTAAACGCACAACGCGACGCTTCCTACATGTGCGCTACATCCTCGTCCTCGTCTTCTCCTCGCACCTCTGTCTGCGTTCGGACCCGGGCAGGGAGTCTGTTAAGGAGTCCGGGACTCCGGGCTGACGTAGGGTCTGGAAGGACGAGCCTCGCATACTTTTGACTGGGGACGGTTTCTCCTCTCCCTCCGCTCCAGTTTCACCCAATCCTCCTCCTCAGAACCCTGACAGACTCGGTGGTTAGGGCGTGTCTGGAAACCCAAAGACACTTAAGACCAGCCAGAAGCATGCGAGGTGCTATGTTGTTTCATTCAAGTTTGAAGGGCAGCTCCACATTTTTGCACTTCTATTTTAAACCAGTGCTCACATGCCCATATGTAGCCCCCATGACTATAAACTAATTCTTCAGTCCATAGTGGCCATAAATGCCTTCAGAATGAAGTGATGGGAGACGAAATACATTGTCCTCATTAAGCCAGTTCTCAAATAAGTCAGCTTACCATCTAATGCCACTTGATGCACATATGCACATCATATATTTAGATCACATTGTCACAGTGGGCTTTTCTAATTGCCATGTTATAGCTTACTTTAAACTTACAAGTCTCCATACAGTAAAAAACTGTAATATCAAAGCAAAACATGCTACTTCATAAACTTATTATTGCACAGAATTGCATTCTAAGCCTCATTGCTTATTTCTATGCACAGTTTATGAGTGTTTTTCTCTGATCAGGCTCCAAAGAGTGACTTCATTTAATACTATCTCATCCTATCTCACCTGATCTCACCCCATTTCAAGGCAACACTGGCTCTACCTCAGACTACTCAGCTCTAACTGTTCAAAGAAAAAAAACAACCAACCAATTATCTGAAGTGCAAATAAACTGTTGAAGCAATCATCTGCTTTCAACATGGATGAATAAATAAACCCCACAGGTTGCGAAACCTCTGACCCTACTGGATGGGCTGTGTCTGGCCCACAGATGTTCACTTTAAATCAACGATGTCATCCATGGCAACATCTGCCATAACAGTAGCTTTCCCTTCATTTTCCTGGAAATGTGTTCCCTGTGGAGATGACATTGACGAGAACCAAAAGAATTCCACTTTATCGTGCTATCCAAACAAACGTCTTTTATTTCATAATGCGGGACCTCTACCCCTAACACAAGCCACTGATCTGCTGAAGGAAATATCACAGAAAAGAAACAGGCATTGTAGTCAGCAGAGAGAGGGGGAGAGAGTTTGTCAAGCGAGGTGCCCCACATTTGAACCCTAATCATTTACAGGCAGTCATAGTCAGAGAGCTGTCAACCTCTGGTTTGATCTGAGCAGCTTCTCTCTGCTCTGACCGGGATGACCCGATTCCATAGCACCATCATAGATCATAACTAAAAAAATAATCAGGACAGTCTGCTCTTTCTGAGGCAAGCACAAACAAAAACACCACTGAAAAGAAGCTATCCTGTCATTAATTTATATAGTTTTTTTACTCATCATTCAACATTAAAAGATTTCCTGTGCATTACTCACTTTTTCAGTTCCTTCTCATGTCAATCATCTAAGCTTTGTCTATAATAAACCTTTTCACACACCATAGGCCGTCCACAACTGAAATGATACACAGATATAATAGAAAAGTTTCCAACCACAGATTATGATTGCATCTGTCTGTCATTTGCTGGTCTGATAGTTCATGTTAACTGCTGTTAGGTATTTTTAGTCAGATAGAAATTAGATAGATACTTTATGTATTAGAAATGTTTAGTGGAGACAGGATGTCTAGTTAGACTGTTAAATGCTTAGGCATGCTTATGAGTTTCTACAGGGTACATCTGGTCAAGGATAACTAGAGAGAAGAGTTGATGACTGTCAGCAGACAGGGTGTTTAATATTATTATTATGACGTGTATAACTGTAGCCTTAGCCATAATATGTTCTTATGTTTAAGTCACGACATGTACTAGAGGTCGTGTGAGAATGTTTTTACCTACACACCACAGACACCCACGCACATTGATTTGCTTCATGTTTTGACTACTGCTATGACCAGCTGCAGAGCTGGTAACAGAGACGTCTCGGTTGACGTTTCTGTGTAGTATGGGGCTAGCCCAACTGAGGGGATATAATGTATAGGCCTGGTGGGTTCAGGGTCTTTCATCTTACATCTGCCTGTGAGCAGTTTGGAGGTGCAAGATATCTGAGCGTGTAATGTTAATTTTACCTGTGATCCTTTGAATAAATCAGCACTGTTTTGAAGTTACTTGGACTGTCTCGTCTCTCAGAGTTAGCATGGTAACAAGAACCATAGTCCTGCACTGCAGAGCTTTACATGGATCTGCAGCATGCAGCATTAGGTGATATCAACCAAAGCAGCACTATGTGCCAACTTATCTGTGTTCTTCTTTTGTCAGTTGTGGTGTGCTTGGCAAAAATAGCTCATAATGAAAGTCAGCTTTGGGTGACTATTGCTCTGCTCTTACATGAAGTGGATATAGGCTCAGTCTGTCACCTGACTTGAATAAAGGGAAGGCTTAACAGAAAAAAAAAACTGCTATAAGGCTTCATGTAGCCTGCAAATTCCCAGGTAGGGTTGTCATATCTCGGAGGGGGGAGAGAGAGTAAAGGCATGATCCAAAAATACTAGTACCATATTTCATATATTTGAGAACAGGAATAACTTAGAATAGTTCCTCATTTTGGAATTTGTTCAGTTTCTTGCCCAGAGTTAGACAACAAGATTAATGGTACTCTCATGTCTGTATAATAAATATGAAATTTAAAACCACAGGGCAATTATCTTAGCTTAGCATAAAGACTGAAAGCTAACTTGGCTATGTTTGAAGTTAAAAATCTAACAATTTGTGGTTTTACATGGAGTTACATGCATAATGTATTTCTTAGAGCCTTGTAACCAGGTTAAACAACCAACAATTAACAAATGTGTTAATTATTACATTTTACACATGCCTACGAACTGAGCCATACCCTGTTTCTGGTCTTTATGTTGAGATAGGCCAATTTATTGTCAGCTGTAGCATTGTATTTACCATACAGATGCTCAAGTAGTACTAATTTTTATCTTCTACAGTATCTCTTGACAAAAAAGCAAATAAGTATATGCATCAGTATCCAGTATTTTTCTTGGGAATCTCCCATCATGGACTGTGTGGAGTGCTGGAAATGCAGACAAGCTGCAATTAATCATTCATTCATATTAATGCTGAACTAAAAGTCTCCACTTGATTTGCATATAGTGAAAGCCTGGGCAGAAAAATGCAAACTGCAAACCTAAATGGGATTGAACCAGAGGTCAGCAGTAGTAATCACTGATCCACTGTGCCACTCATTATTTAGCATGTTCACCTGTAGACTCTCTGGGTGCATCTCATTCCTGTACAGTATGTGAGGCAGAGTAGAAACCCCTCCCATGGGAGTGAAGCTGTGTCTCGGTTGACATTTCTGTGTAGTATGGGGCTAGCCCAACCGAGGGGATATAATGTATAGGCCTGGTGGGGTCAGGGTCTTTCATCTTACATCTGCCTGTGAGCAGTTTGGAGGTGCAAGATATCTGAGCGTGTAATGTTAATTTTACCTGTGATCCTTTGAATAAATCAGCACTGTTTTGAAGTTACTTGGACTGTCTCGTCTCTCAGAGTTAGCATGGTAACAAGAACCATAGTCCTGCACTGCAGAGCTTTACATGGATCTGCAGCATGCAGCATTAGGTGATATCAACCAAAGCAGCACTATGTGCCAACTTATCTGTGTTCTTCTTTTGTCAGTTGTGGTGTGCTTGGCAAAAATAGCTCATAATGAAAGTCAGCTTTGGGTGACTATTGCTCTGCTCTTACATGAAGTGGATATAGGCTCAGTCTGTCACCTGACTTGAATAAAGGGAAGGCTTAACAGAAAAAAAAAACTGCTATAAGGCTTCATGTAGCCTGCAAATTCCCAGGTAGGGTTGTCATATCTCGGAGGGGGGAGAGAGAGTAAAGGCATGATCCAAAAATACTAGTACCATATTTCATATATTTGAGAACAGGAATAACTTAGAATAGTTCCTCATTTTGGAATTTGTTCAGTTTCTTGCCCAGAGTTAGACAACAAGATTAATGGTACTCTCATGTCTGTATAATAAATATGAAATTTAAAACCACAGGGCAATTATCTTAGCTTAGCATAAAGACTGAAAGCTAACTTGGCTATGTTTGAAGTTAAAAATCTAACAATTTGTGGTTTTACATGGAGTTACATGCATAATGTATTTCTTAGAGCCTTGTAACCAGGTTAAACAACCAACAATTAACAAATGTGTTAATTATTACATTTTACACATGCCTACGAACTGAGCCATACCCTGTTTCTGGTCTTTATGTTGAGATAGGCCAATTTATTGTCAGCTGTAGCATTGTATTTACCATACAGATGCTCAAGTAGTACTAATTTTTATCTTCTACAGTATCTCTTGACAAAAAAGCAAATAAGTATATGCATCAGTATCCAGTATTTTTCTTGGGAATCTCCCATCATGGACTGTGTGGAGTGCTGGAAATGCAGACAAGCTGCAATTAATCATTCATTCATATTAATGCTGAACTAAAAGTCTCCACTTGATTTGCATATAGTGAAAGCCTGGGCAGAAAAATGCAAACTGCAAACCTAAATGGGATTGAACCAGAGGTCAGCAGTAGTAATCACTGATCCACTGTGCCACTCATTATTTAGCATGTTCACCTGTAGACTCTCTGGGTGCATCTCATTCCTGTACAGTATGTGAGGCAGAGTAGAAACCCCTCCCATGGGAGTGAAGCTGTGTTCCACATATAAAAGTGTATAAAAGTGTGATATATCAGGTGATTATAAGGGCTAGCCATCTATGAATTGAGTCTTGCATAGGTGGTCCCCTCATTAAAAGCCTCTCAACTCACAAAGAAGTCAGACTGTATTTTGGCTATTTTGCACTTCAAAGTCAAATGAGAGAATGACTTCACAACACCTTGAGCTGACCAAAAACTGCTGAAGCAATAGTTCCTTCTCAGCACCCCACTAGGTGTGGGAACATTTTCTATGCATCACATCACTGCTTTGCACCTAGTGGTCTCATAGTAGACTGTAAACTGCTTCATCTTTAAACAGCTCGGCATTTGTCTCAATCCAAAAAAGTACTGACTGCACTGATGCTACTCTCAGCTTAGCTTACCAAGAACTGG